AGCCAGTTCCTGAAGAGAGACGGGCAGCGGGGCCGCAGCGAAGGCAGCGACTCGAGGTGGGCCGTGGGCAAGGCGGCCGGGACCCGGTGACGAGGGCTGGGGGTGGCCAAGGGTCAGACGTGGGCTGGGTATGTGACCTCCCAGCTGGTAGCAGAGCTGGTGGGACAGGGGCCAATTCAGTACAGGAGTGGAGTGCCCAGCAGTGCCTCCAGGCTGCGGTCCTGGGAGAAGCCCATCTCCGAGGAGGTGGTACCCAACTCAAAAGAGACTGCAAGGGGCTAGTGATGTCTTCAAAGCATCCCCAAAACCCCAGCCAAGACCTGTCCGGGAAGCAGGAAAGCCCTGCAGCAGGAGTTGTTGGAGGAGAGAAATGGTCTAACCCCCTTCCTTGCTCCCTATGCCCGCAGGAGCGTTGTTGCTGTCTGGAAGGGCATCGTTGATGGTGCCATGTACACCGGGCAGGCCCATGTCGCCGCCTCGGAGAGCTACCGCGCCATCGCCCTGGAGGCCTCCAAGACAGCCCGCGTGTCCAAGGAGCGGATGCTCAAGAAGGTACTTGGACAAAATGAGGACGTGGGGCACATGGAGAACTCATGGCCAGTGCAGTCCATGGCCCTTGCACCCAAGCAAAGGTGCGAAGGCCACCAGTGTTGGGACTGATGTTTCCCCCTGCCCCAGAGCATTGAGCAGTTGCAGAAGGTGCAGGCAGAGCTGCTGGAGACAGTGAAGGAGCTGGGCAAGGCGAAGAAGCAGTTTATGCACCTGCAGCGGAGCAATGAGGTGGCCAAGGACAAAGCCGCAGACGTGGAGGCCCGGTGAGCAGGGCAAGAGGAGGGCACAGAGGGGCTGCAGCAGGAGCCAAGAGGATGGACCTTGAACTTGTGTCTCCACCTTTCTCCCCAGGCTCCGGAGGAGTGACCGGGGGATATTTCACACCAAGGCCAGCCTGCAAAAACTCAGTGCCAAGGTCAGCAAAGCAAGGACAGATGGAGCGTTGAGCGCACGGGCAGCAGCAGGGCTGGCCGGAAGCTGGTGCAAGACAGTGTCATCCCCCTGGTCACCAGGCCACACTCTCCCTGTCCCACAGTTCTCTGCGCAGCTGGCCGAGTACTCGAAGCAGCTCCCAGGGGTGCACAACGAGTATGTCCTCACGCTGGTGTCTGCCAATGCTCACCTGGACCATTACTACCGCGTGGAGTTGCCCACGGTCATGGAGGTAGGAGCTGCTCTGACACCTGCTTCTCTCGCCAGTTTTGTCCCCTCTTATGCTGGAAGCAGGGTTCTCTGAGCAACCATCCCAGGTCCTTGAAGAAACATCCCCCAGACCTGGTTAGGTGCTGGATACAGGGTCCCGTTGCCCCTGTGGTGCTGGGACTGGGTGCCAATGGTGTCCCATGTTCATGAGTGCCCTCCTCCCATCTCAGAGCATTTCTTGGGCACGTGGCAGATCCCTGGTGCCCAACCCACAGATTGTCCTCAGCCCGGGTTGTCAGGGATGTGTTCCCTGGTGGGGGGAGATGCGAGAGGCTGGATGATGAGCAGGTACATGGGGTGCCCCACTCCTCGGCTCTGCGTGGGCACCATGGGTGCCGCAGGGTGTCCTGCCTCCCAGCCTGGTTCCCCCAGGCCCTGGACGGTGACCTTTACGAGCGGCTCCGGGACCACTTGACCTTGACCAGCCAGACGGAGATTGAGATCTGCCAGGCCACACAGGAGTGGTTCCAGCGTGTTCTGGAGTCATCCACCCAGGTAAAGCTACTTGTCCCTGGGCCGGGACTGGTTCCCCTGGTCCCTTTGCATCCCGGACACTGCTGAGTTGATGGAGAGGATGAGTGAGCTCCCTATCTCGGTCCCATGCATCTTCTCCCCACCACTGCAGATAAGCCGGGAGCAGAACCTCCTCCTCTTCCTCCAGGACCACACTGCCTTCACACTGGCACCAGAGCAGCGATTCCAGCTCGCCGGCATGGACCAGGTACGCTGTGAGGCTAGTCTAGTGCCCAGCTGAGCACGTGCGCCCTTCTCAGATGGATCCTCCTTGCCTAGATGCGTCTCCTGGAGCCGGAGAGCAGCAGCACCAGTGAGAGCAGCCTGGAGAAGGAGGTGCGGCGCTGGGCCAACCGGGCGGCCAAGGACTACAAGATCAAGACGCACAGTGAGCAGGTTGGGGCTTGGCATGGGTTATTCTTCCTTGCAGAGCTGCTGCGCCCTGAGCCCTGCGAGGGGACAGAGGCTACAGCCCCTTCCCTGATGCTCCTGCATGACTGAGAGCCCCTGTGAGCTGTGGTCGTTCATGCAGGTCTTGCAAAGGCTGGAGGCCAGGAGGCAGCAGGCCCCGGAGGCTGAGGTAGCTGCCACGGAGCGACGGATGGATGAAGTGAAAGAGAATATTCGGAAGGCTGAGGTGGGTCTGGTGGGGCAGAGCCCGCGTTCCCTGCTCCCTGAGCCCACCCCAGGCTGGAGCTCCCCAATCCCGGGCTTGGGGGTGGCCTTGGGAACCACACACACTTTATCTCGCGCCGTCTTGGGTAGACGTGGAGGATGTGGAGCCTTGGCAGCTCCTCAGACCTCGGCCAGCAGCACTAGCAGATGCTGGGCGCTGGCCTGGGCACACAGGTGGGCCAGGGCTGCCTTCTTTGGCGTCCAACACCACCCTCCCCTGTCTCTGGTCAGCCTGTCCTCTACCCGCACACACTTGGGTGCCAGCAGCCCGGTTCTGCCTTACGTCCCGGCCGCACTA